CTCAGGTAGGACAAAGTGTCTCAGGTAGGATAGAGTGTCTCAGGTAGGACAAAGTGTCTCAGGTAGGACAGAGTGGCTCAGGTGGGACAGGGTGTCTCAGGTAGGACAGAGTGTCTACAACTAATTATTTTTGAGTTAATGTTGCCTTAATGAACAGTGAATAAAAAATAACCTGTAAAACTCTGATGTTAAATGCGACGTGGTTGAAAATTTGGGTGCACCRAACTTTTGTGCTGGTGCACCTAAGAAAAATTGTTAGGCGCACAGGTGCAACCAGTGCAAAAAGTTAGTCAAGAGTCCTGACATCACAAACAAATCAGGGACATCTTGTTGGGAGTTGCAGGAGGTGGCAGTGTGTTTTTCTTTCTTTGCAGAATCCCATTTTACTTCATTTAAACAATCATAAGACAACTATGAGTCTCCAAAAGCCGAAAAGGTGGTAAAGACGCCATGAAAAAGGATGCAGCAATGGAGAAGAAAGATACAGTATTTGTTGTTGTTAGCAGCTATATATTTAGGGATTAAAATAACAGTAAATTGTTTTGCATCATCAACATGGGGTTTATGACAGGGTCCCTGGATATTTTTCACCCTTGTAAAGGGTCCCCAGACCCAAAAGGTTTGAGAAGCCCTGTTCTAGACTACACGGTAAAAGAACATGTACTACAGCAGGCCCGGAGACAAGAAGCTATGTTCCACGGGTCACGCATTTATTCTGATCACGACTATTCATCAGACCAGCAAAGGTAGAACGGTGAAGTGCATCATGTCATTAATCAACTTAAAAAAAGGGAATATGCAGCAGAAGGGAGAAAATATGCAATGTCACTATCTGGGATTGACCAGAAGGCATTTCTTACTCAGCAAGATGAGTAAAGTGCTGTTTATATTGAAGCCTATAGTATGACTACAAATTTAAGTTATTTGATATTTTTGATACATCATAGTTCGATTTGAGTCTGTGTACTTTTTGGCCCCAGATTTTTCTTTTCAAAAGCAGATACTATTACTTTTCACTTTATAATTAAAAAAATATGTCACAGATGTGATACCTTCTTGGTTTTAGAAACTTCAGGTAAATACTTCATGCATTTTTGGGCAGTCTGGTCACTGAGCATTCCTCGGGCACAATTTTTGAGTAAAAGACAGAATGGGATGTATTGCAACTGTCAGTCATATTTTTTAAAATGCTGTTTTTCAGGCTCGTCTGCCAGTGAAGTGGATGTCCCCGGAAAGTATCTTTGAGTGTGTGTACACATTTGAGAGTGACGTGTGGTCCTATGGCATCTTGCTTTGGGAAATCTTCTCACTGGGTATATTTTCCCTATTCATAGTTCTGTACTTTGCGTGTATAAAACAACTGTGTGTCTAGTTGTGTGTTTTCAGAGTTGCATAATGCAACTTGATATTTCTGCTGGACATAGGAAATAGTCCTTATCCTGGTATGCCTGTGGATGCCAAGTTCTACAAACTGATAAAAGAAGGATACAGAATGGACACTCCAGAGTTTTCCCCCAAGGAAATGTGAGTTTTCATTGGTTTGAAATGTGGCTGTGCTCAAAAGAATTACTCAAAAAAGAGATGGTTTGGTTTAAGGCTGTGACAAAAAGGAATGTGAGGGATTTGAATCACAGCCGGCTCTCATCCTATTGCATTTGGCTTCTCACAATAATAATCAAAAACAGGAAAGTTAAAGCTGTTTGATAAAACAAGAAGAAATATTACACTACAAAAAGGGTCATTGTAAAAACTGTAGCTGAGAAAAGCTCTTTGTTTTATGTGTTTCTTTGCAGGTATGAGATTATGAGGTCTTGCTGGGAGCCTGACCCCTTCGAAAGACCCCCCTTCAGGAAAGTCGTAGAGTATATAGAGCAACAGCTGTCGGATGCCACTAAACATGTAGGTTGCACCACTTTTATGACTTTTTTCCCAAGGTTRAAACTTGCATGCATTGATTAAAAATGTATCTTGAAGTCCTTACAGGCTGCTCAGCCTTATTATGCTGTGATTTTAAGGTGGTTAATTCAATTCAATTCAATTCAAAAACACTTTATTGATCCCAGAGGGAAATTAGTTAAGGCTGATGTTAAATTTCGGTTCATGTTCCTATATTCAAAAATGTTAATGAAATATGTTAAAGGGGCAATATCATGTAAAATCAACTTTTTTGAGTTTTATATCATGTTATCTCATAAAAAAAACATGCCCAAAGCCTTGCTCTGACT